TCTTTGTACGGGTTTGAGACGCAAGCTAATGTATTCAATGCAGATAATCCCAAGCTCGTGGATGGTGCACCGACTGCCATCCAGGTCTTCACGAACAAGATGCGCGATGAAGAATGCCTGCAGGTGTCTGCTATCATCGATGAATGCTTGAAAGCTGTGTAAATGTCCTTTTTTGGTACTTATATGAGCATACTTCGATATCGCACATTCTACCACTTGCAACTTCGGCGTCGCACTGCAACGTCTTGTATTCTGCGAGATGTCTTCAACACTGCTGTATTTGACTGTCTGCAATGTCGACCGCTCGCTCCTGCAACATGATAAATGCGGTGGTAATCACCATGTCAACCAAGAAAAAAACTGAACAGGCCTACAGCCTACATCAAAATGGAAGCACACAAGATAGGTGACCTGGCGGCGATGTAGGCTCTAGACCTGTTCAGTTTTATTCTTGTATGAGCTTTCACTGTCTAACCGATTTATCTCGTACTCATCATCTCATCATCTCGTCTCGTCGTCCACTCTTCATAGTCTACATCCTTCCACTGTACAAGTCCATCCAAATCGTCTACCATTTCCCTCTAGTGTGCATGATCCTCGCCGCAACCGCAGTCAGGCCCAAATTCGCGTCGGGCCTGTCTCGCTTCCTCCTGCCATGGCTGTAGGGTGACCGCCCGCTTCGTCTCCCGTTCCCACTTTCCATGACCCTTCTTCTCGTTGAGTTCGACGAGAGCATCCAGCCACGCGGCAAGTCTGTACCCCGCCTTTGCGAGTTGCTTTGTAACGACAGGAATAGCAGTGTCCCAGTAAGCTCCTGACAGCTCTTGCGCAAACACTGCATCAGGGCCGTTGGGAATGACAGTGGAGCAGACAAATTTGTTGGCGTCACGCGCCCAAGTCATGGAGCTGCTGACTGCATCCTTCGCCTTCAGTCCCTTGAGCCACGTCTTGCTCTCCTTCTTGAACTTGCCGTGCTTCACTTCGGCGGTGAGGTTATTGGCCAGAGCCAATGCATTGGCTTGGGAGAAGTTTCCATAAGCCTTTTGCGGAATTGCTGTGTCCCAGATGGAGTGCAGGTTTGTTCGCGCGCCATTGAAAGTGACGTTGATGAGGTTACCACCTACGGCAATGTTCTCTACGTGGAGTGGCTGGTGGACATCGCCGACGAAGTGGATGACCCATTTTAGGGCTCTTTGCTGTTCGACGATGCCAACCGACTTCTGGAAAGCGCGGCTAGAGTAGTTGGCGATGGCGGAAACGATGCAACCCTCCTCAGGACAGTCGCGCTCGTAGTCGATATTGCAGCTCTCAGGCGGGTTGTCGAGCGCATCGATGTAGTGGAGAACGGAACTGAACTTCCCCTCCGGCTCAGAGCGGAAGTTATCAGCCCAGGTAGCCACATTGGCGAGATATGCGGATGAGGTGTCGTTCAAGAGGGTCTGCGCAAACTTGGCCGTCTTGTGGGAGACGAGGTTCTGTGCCATGTATGCCACTGCGGTGTGGCCGAGGGAACCCCAAGCGGAGGCATAGGGAACTGCCGCAAGGAGAGGTAGAAGCGACTTCGATGGTGCCATCTTGAACGTTAAAGTTATCGGGCTGGTCGAAGTGAAGCAGGAAAGAGGCTTATTGTCATGCTCACGCAGAGGACATGCGATGTTATAAGCAGCTGGGAACGGCAACGAAGTCGACCAATAGCTCTGATGGTATCGGCCATGGCCGTTTCGTCGCCACGATGCTTGATCGAGACCCTGTAGAGCGTGAGCGATGATATGCAGGTCCATGGGGATGCTAGCCCAGAAAGGAAGGTGCTACGCCACGATAGGCAGGAGCTGGTTAGCCGACCTCAACTTGAGCCTCTGTCAAAGAGCACGTTGCCCGTCTTGATTGGATAACCACAAAAACACAGCCGGAGATGAACATCTAAAGATCCCGTGGGCAGGGTAGCACGTTGTACGGGTGGGTGTCTAATGTATGTACCTACAAAACCAATGCAGCTAACAATGCTCCGAAGACAGCTAGGGTATCTCAAATCCGTGAGTCTTCGCCAAACGCCAGATGTAAATGCACGTTGTCACGATTGCGTTTATCGCTCCGCCTCTGCGGCATTGTCCTCGCCGCCTGCGTCCATATTGTTTGGCGTCTCGTCTTCGGCAGTCTCTTCTGGCAGAGCAGGCGGCCCTTCGATCAGGCGGAGCCACCACGCGGGAGGATCGAGAGGGCTGTGGTTGTTGTGCAGCGGCGGGTAGATGTCGTTGAAATAGTACCAGACTGGAGTGGGTTAGTTGTTGTCAACAAGAGCTGGGAGCGCAGACGTACTGTGGCCGACGACGATGCCGCACATCTCATCCTTGGGCACCGTCCCATGCATGATGAGCGAAAAGGCCAAGAGCACCCAGGGCAGGTAGGGCGCCTTGAAGACCAGCAGGCCAAGGAAACTGAGCATGGTGTCTGGGTTCTTCCTGCTCCAGATGTAGATGAGCGTGCTGGACAGAGCCGAGCCGAGAAAGGCCATGGAGAACATGGGCGCGATGCAGAGGAGCAGCGTCGAAGCGAATGTGAGGAGCCATGCGAAGTGTGCCGTGGAGCGGCCGGACGATTCCTCGAGCAGGCGCGCGTATCGCTGGAGGAAGAAGATGTGGTAGAGGAGGTCGAGGCTGAGTGGGCCGAAGTAGAAGAAGGTGGTGAGCAGTCGCCAGTACTATGCAGGTCAGTACGGGCTGGAACAGTCGCAGTGGTAGTGGTGGTAGGTACCTGGCTCTTGAAGAAGACGGTGCGCACGCTGTAGAAGAGCTGGAAGGGCGAGATGATATGGCACTGCACCAGCACACTGGCACTCAGCGCCGCCGTCATCCACCAGCGCGTGCACACGGGCATTTCGTAGAACCACTGCTCGAGCGGAAACCCTCCGGCCCCTCCCATCACGCCGTCCCCGCCTTGCAGAACATTCGCCATGGTTGAGCGCTCTAGGGATAACACAGGATGAAGAATGTGAGAAGAGGCAAGTTGCAGCGCCTGCACTCAGATACCTAAGTAAGCAGCGAGAGGCCAAGTGTCGCTCAGCAAACGCAGCCGCTTTCCGAGCGTGTGAACGATGGAGCCCATGTGGCTACGTAACTTGTCCGATGGCCCGCCAAGGCGCTAGGGCGAACAGCACGCGATCGCACCTTCCGCCCGCCGGGGGTCGGGTCCAAGCTCCTGCCCTGGGTGAATGCGAACCAGCCACAGCACCAGCCCCTCGTGTCAGTCGCGTCGGCAGACGGTCAAGATCGCGAAGGACGATGCGCCCGTGCTCCATTCACTACCGCGACCCTCGTACGCCATCTCATCGATATACCCGACGACGACGTGCCGACCGTTCGTCTTGTTGATCTTGACGCGCTTGAGCTTCGCGACTTTTCGCGCCGTGCACGCGCCGTGAACCCTCCCTCGTCGCCAATCCCACGCTCCAATTGATCCACCTGGACCCCGACACATCGCGCGATATCCTTAGACATCAAACCCAACATGTCTCCCAAATCTCCCACCAGAAAGAACAAGGCGCGACCGTCGCGAGGTGGACGAGCGAGTGTCGGAGGAAGGAAGGAGTCGGGCAAGAGACGTACGTAGTGCGCCGAATAGCCAAGTCTGCGCATCCCAGCTGACCATTGCGCAGTTGGACAAGCAGGACCCGCCCCCGATCGCGCAAAGAAGCGCTACAAGCCCGGCACCGTCGCTCTCCGTGAGATCAAGCGCTACCAGAAGTCAACCGACCTGCTCCTCCTGAAGCTCCCATTCCAGCGCCTCGTACGGACACTCCATACAGACATTCTGGCGACAGTCAGCTAACGTGCCTCCAGGTCCGCGAGATCGCGCAAACAGTCACAACCGAAGACGGCCCCAACAGATGGCAGAGTCAAGCCATCGTCGCCCTCCAAGAAGCCACCGAAGCCTTCCTCGTCAACCTATTCCACGATGCCAACCTCTGCGCCATCCACGCCAAGCGCGTTACCATACAGCAAAAGGACATTCAACTCGCGCGTCGTCTGCGAGCAGCTTGGGGTGCGCCGGTTTGAGTTAGCATGGTTGTTTTGGCAGAGACCCAATCTTCACTTCTGTTGGTACCGAGTTTGGAGGAAACGGGGCGTAACGTTGCGATCTAGAATACGTGCGCATACCTGAGAGGCTGCTTTTGGGAAACAATTGCGATTGGCGTTTCATGGCGCAGAGGTTACTCGCATGAGGCTTGTCTTCAGGATTGTTATTGATTACTGTTCATATATGTGCAGCATACCGACTACCGAGTTACAACTACATCCCTGTATATCAGTATTTTGGATGATCAAATGGAACAGAAATTCCACGTCTTCCGTTTCTTGACTTCGACCTGAATGGCGTGAATCATCTGGGGAACGACTCCAATCAGACGCTGACTACCAGTATAGTTAGTGGCATTGGCAGTCGTCCGCCGTTTCTTGCTTGAGTTGCTTGTACGTCGACGATGCCTTGGCTATCATCGTCTTCGCTGCGTGCGAACTGCTCGACCAGCTGGAGAGCGCGGAACACCGCCGAGGTAAGCTCCCCCGCCATACCCGGAACGTTGGCTTCTTATCGCCGGCAACCCTCATCACCTTCCACATACGCTTCGCAGCAAAGATCCAACTCTCCTCCGCAACCGGTAGCCGACCAACTAAGACATTACCGAATAAACAAGTGACGCAAAGCCTCCTTGGCAGCCTTGGCCCTGCATTGTCCCCGCCCGTATCACGTCGCTAGAATGCCATTCGACGTCATGAACTGGGTGCCTCAGGTCGGTGCCGCTGCGGCGATACATGCGCTATAGCTCAACCAGGAAGCTCAATGTCTGACATGCAGGCACTTGCAGGCTTGTACAATGGTTGCCAGGCAGACGAGTCAAGGTACCCTAATGTCAAGAACTACGTATAAAGTTGGCACTTGTGATACTTCCGTAACCTCTGCCCGCAGCAAATTGGAGAGCTCGATCTCCTCCTACCACAGCGATCATGGTTGCATTCAGGCTGTCGCTTCTTGGAGCAGCTGGGCTTCTGAGTGGGGTTGTCAACGCTCAGTTTCCTCCGACACCAGAGGGCGTGACCGTTCTTGAATCGCAACTTGATGAGGGTGTCACGATCTCATACAAGGAGGTAGGTCATCCTCCTCACAGTGCTTGATCCGTCTACTAATGACCCCAGACCGACCTCTGTGAAACCACAGAAGGCGTCCGAAGCTTCTCCGGCTATGTTCACCTCCCAGCTGGAGCACTTGCCGATCTCGGTGTCGAGAACCAAACCTACGAGATCAACACCTACTTTTGGTTCTTTGAATCGAGGAAAGATCCTGCCAATGCCCCTCTCTCCATCTGGATGAACGGTAAACAGCTTGGAAAGAACGCATTGCGACGTTGACTGACACTATCAGGTGGACCCGGCTCCAGTTCCTTTGTTGGACTTTTGCGTGAGAACGGACCATGCTTCATTGGTGCCGATTCCAATAGTACCTACCTCAACGAATGGTCGTGGAACAACGAGGGTGAGCAAGTCTATAGTACAGCATTTGGTCTTCTGAGTATCACGGCTAATGGAATCAGTCAACATGCTTTATCTCGACCAGCCCGTTCAGGTTGGCATGAGCTATGACAGCCTGGTCAACATCACCACTAATCTAGACACCGGCGATCTTGAGGTTGTAGACTTCGGCAACGGCCCTGTTCCTCCCCAAAACAACAGCTTCTATGTCGGCACCTACCCTAGCGAAAACTCCAACCTCACCACACGTGGTACTGAGAACTCTGCACGAGCGCTCTGGAACTTTGCCCAAGTCTGGTTCCAGGAATTTCCTGAGCACAAGCCAAATGATGACAGAATCTCTATTGCGACAGAATCTTACGGAGGTCGTTATGGACCAGCGTTTGCAGCTTACTTCCAGGAGCAGAACGAGAAGATCGAGAACGGGACGTGGAGCGAGGCCGGACAGACACATCTCTTACACCTCGACACTCTACTTATCATTAATGGCTGCATTGATCGTTACGTCCAATGGCCGGCTTACCCAAGGATGCAGTACAACAACACGTACGGTATCAAGGCTGTGAACGAGTCGCGCTATGAGGAAGTGCTCGACAACCTATACAAGGAGGGAGGCTGTCTTGATCAAATTGAAGAATGTCGCAACATCAGCCTTATATACGATCCTACTAACCAAGGCTACAACGAGACCGTCAACGAAGTATGTGAGGCGGCAGAGACATTCTGTTCCGAAACGATCCGTGATCCTTACTTCGACACCGACCTCAACTACTACGACATCTCCGCCCCCGGTGCAGCTGCTTTCCCACCACCATGGTATCAAGGCTGGCTGAATCAGCCACATGTACAGCAGGGACTTGGTGTACCTCTCAACTGGACTCAATCGAACTCGGCCGTGTCGCGGGCATTCCGAGGTATTGGCGATTATCCACGTCCAGGTTGGAAGGAGGATCTAGCGTATCTTCTCGAAGAGGGTATCAAGGTCACACTGGTGTATGGTGACCGAGACTATGCCTGCAATTGTCAGTATTGCCCCAAGAAGGCTGCGTTTGAGACATGAACTGACACTTTGCAACGTTTAGGGTACGGTGGTGAACTGCTCTCGCTTGCTATCCCCTACGACAACGCCACTTCATTCGCGGATGCCGGATATGCGCCTGTCGTCGTGAACGATACCTACATCGGGGGCCAAGTGCGTCAATACGGCAATCTATCCTTTACGCGAGTGTACGAAGCTGGTCACGAGGTACCAGCCTACCAGCCCGAAACCGCGTACAAGATCTTCACACGCGCTCTCTTCAACCGCGACATCAGCACCGGCAACATTTCTACGACCGAGACCCCTGACTACGCCAGTGAAGGACCAAGTGACGTGTATAACATCACCAATGAGCCGATTGTCGATGAGGGCACGCAATGCTACGTTCTTGACCCCGGTCAGTGCACAGCGGAGCAGTGGGAGTCAGTCATGAATGGAACGGCCCTGGTGCGAAACTGGATCGTTGTCGACGCCAACACTAGCTACCTGTTCCCAGATCTAGCTGGTAACGGTACATCGAGCAACGGAAGTACACCTTCTGGCACGGGTTTGCCAATGCCCACTTACACCGCGGCTGCATCCGGTGGTCTCTCTGCGAGCGTTTTGGGCAGTGCGATGATTGCTGCGGTTGTAGGAAGTTTGGTGATGCTTTAAACAATAGCATAATAGTCGCGACGATATGAGAATCGCAATTATGCTCATACGATAACCATGATATCTGTAGTACTTACATGTGCTCCAGGCAAGCAATACATAGATACTGGCCTGTTCCACATCATCACATTATGCACTGGTGCATTGGATGCGCGTGACGTCATGACTTCAACACGCGAAACCGTACTTTTGTCTCGCAGATATGCACATTCTCAACGACCTCGACGCGTCGCAAGCTCTCCAAGCAGACGTGAACCCATGACCATGTCTCGTCCCATGTACTCCGCGTTCCAGAGACATCTACTCTTCTTCTCAACGCCCACATCTCCACCCAGACTTACCTTCGGATCCGCCCTCCGCGCAGGCGTATCAATCGGCCTAGACTTCCCCGTCGCAGTCCTCCTGAGCCTATCCCTCCGGCTCATGTACGCGCCCTTCCCCTTCCTCTGGTCCCCCATCATCGTCGATAAGATCCCAGCGTCAGCACATCGCACACAATTGAGCTCCGTCACTCTACCAAAGGGAAAAGCCGACTATACTTGCACCGAGCTGCTATCTCTTCTCAACAACAGCGCCGAGGAGAATCAGGGCAAGGGCTGGTTGAAACACAAGATTGATCAGGGGCATGTGGTGGGGTTTTGGAGTATGGCTGCGAGTGCAAGGACGCATACTGTTAGGAGGGATGATGTCGAGCGGTTCCAACAGGGGGAGTGGGAAGGGCCTGTTGTTAAGAGGAGACGGGGGAGAGACGATGTTTTGCCGCTTTGGAGGGGTGGGCCGATATGGGTTGGGGGGCACAGTTGGGCTGTCTGGAAGGTTCTTGGAGTGAGGGTTTATGAGGATAAGAGGCGGTAGATAGTCGCATGATCTTGCGTGGACATCGTACAGAAAGAATAGAGTGCGCCTTTGACTCAGACTGCGGTGAAGATGGTACAGCGAAACCTGCACATTCGCGCCTGCGGATGAATGTTTTAGCGGCCTTTGCACAAGTTACAAACGGCCGCCTTCCGCAGTCTTGTTACACATGCTTATTTCATGGCTTACTTAGCATCACAAGCGCTCATAAATCCGCTGCCCGAATCTAGATCTTTGGCTGCTGAGTCGAAGCCCGCTTTTTTCCGAAGAAAAAGGGCTCTGCGCGTTATCAGATCCTGACTTTGACAGCGGTCGAAGTTCGGCGGACCCGCTTTTCTTTGCCTGACAGACGCAATTCCGCGCTCACGTAAAGAACGTTGAAGATTGCTCAGAAAAATGTCAGGAGCGATGGGCGCCAAACTAGGACGCGCATCGCGCTGTGGTCACCTTTGCACACATACTTCTACACGCTCTTCGAGTCGCGGTAGTCATTTTTACACAGACATTGCCTGCCTCCGCCTCGAGACGCGTCGTTGAGAATCGACGAGCACTGTCGTCATCGCGGTACCATCTCGGAACTCACAGCCAAAACGACATAGGCGCAGAAATTGAAGTCCATTCAGCACAAGTTTACATTCACGATCTTTCGCGATAACACGAGCGTTTCACGATAGTCTCGAGAAGACACATTCCAGCAGGCGCTTTCCTCGGTCACGCCGTCGAACCATCTCGAAATGGAGGAATCAAGAGGCTCTTTAGAGCCAACAGGCGAGAAGTTCTCGTCTACCTCCGACCAGGACTTTGACGACAGCGACTCCCACGAAGACATGGACCACCGCGACTCTCGCCACTCTGCGCAAGCTTCCAAGCAGCAGGACCTGGAACTCGCAAAAACGAAGTCAATCGCAGAGACCATGTCTCCACTCCGCGAAGCTTTCTTTGTCGGTTTGCTCTGCTCTGCTCAGTTCGTCACACAAGCAGGTCTGCTCGGCACTCTCAATATCTTGCATATCATCGGATCCGATCTTGGTATCACCGACCCCGGTGTCCTGTCGTGGCTGATAGCGGGTTATTCGTTGACAGTCGGTACCTTCATCCTGCTATCTGGCCGTTGCGGAGATCTCTTCGGATACAAGAACATGTTGATCATCGGCTATATCTGGTTTGGCGTCTGGATGATAGTAGCCGGTTGCAGCGTCTACATTGAGGGAAATGGTGGTCAGGTGCTTTTCATCTTCTCGCGCGTGCTGGGAGGTATTGGACCGGCAATACTACTGCCCAATGCGCTTGGTCTACTAGGCGCAACGTACAACGAGGGAAAGAGGAAGGATATGGTGTTCTCGCTATTTGGAGCATGCGCACCCGGTATGTATTTGCCCATTGTCTTATGGATATTGTCTAACGTCATATAGGTGGTGGTATAGCTGGCGGCGCGTTCGCTGGTCTCTGGGCGCTCTTGTGGTGGCCATGGGCATTCTGGACGTTCGGTATTGCGCTGTTCTGCCTTGCCATTTTGTCGATCTTCATCCTCCCCTCAGTACCGCTCGATCCGGAAGTTCGCAATCTCTCGCACAGGGAACGAGTTCGTGAGCTTGACCTACTCGGCGCAAGTGTGGGCATTACCGCCATGATCCTGTTCAACTTCGCCTGGAACCAAGCGCCTGGTTTTGGATGGGGACACCCCTACATCTACGTCCTGCTAATAGTCGGCCTTCTTCTCTTTCCGCTTTTCTTTTGGATCGAGATTAAAGTCGCCAAGAAGCCTCTCATACCATTTGATGCTCTCAGCACGGATGTCTCGTTCGTGTTGACTTGCATAGCCTGTGGCTGGGCCGCTTTCGGTAAGAGTCGCCTTTCCAGATACCTTTGAGCGCATGACTAACCACAGTTGCAGGTATTTGGGTTTATTACTTCATCCAAATGCTTCAGCAGCTGCGTGGGGAGTCCCCACTTCTCACAATGGCTCATCTCTGTCCTGTCGTGATCTCCGGCTTCATCGCTGCGGTCACTACTGGCCGTGTCATCTCGCGCATCGGCCCAGGATGGGTCATGCTTATCAGCATGCTAGCGTTTTTGACAGGCAACATTCTCGTCGCTACACTCCCCGTCAACCAGATCTACTGGGCGCAAACCTTTGTTACCACGCTCATCATCCCATGGGGCATGGACATGAGTTTTCCCGCCGGCACGCTGATCATGAGTAATGCTGTCGCTAAGAAGCACCAAGGCATGGCAGCGAGTTTGGTCAACACGATCGTGAACTACAGTATCAGTATCGGGGTTGGTATCGCAGGAACAGTGGAGGTGCACGTCAACAGTGGCGGAAGAACGGCGGAGGATGAACTGCACGGTTATCGTGGCGCCATGTACGTTAGCGTCGGACTGAGCGGCATGGGTGTGGTGACGAGCTTGCTGTTCCTGCTCAAGATGTGGTTGAGAGAGAAGAGGGCACAGAACAAGATCTGAGTTTGCAGTCTTAGTATTCAATCTAGATTAAACATTACTGACTTTCTTTGGCGTGCAGTTCCGCAGCTTTGTGCGTGTGCCTGCCATCTCTGAGTGATTACGTCATCGTGTCGCACCATCCCGCGATCGCAATTTCTTGTTCATCGCGGTCACCCATCCGGCACGTCAGCGCCGCATTTCAGCATCAAGATACGACAGTGCTTTGATCAATGACATTTACCCGACTCGCGCCGTCCTGAGGAATCCAGGGAATTCAACGTCGAGTGGCGGATGATACGCACCGGATGATACCGTCAGGGTCTTTGGTACAGTCAACCGAGAGCGAGCTTATTCGCGAAATCGAAAACCGCGCAATCCACTACAGAGTAAGCAGAGCATCAACATCCCTTAGTCTGCTATGCTACCGCCCAATACTCTAAGCATGAGGTCCATTATGACGCCTCACGATGACCCGCCTATCTACCAGCTGCCGGAAGAGTTACTGCTGCACGTCGCCTCTTATCTTCCCGACGCAGCTGCACCCACGACCCTCAAGGACCTGAGTCTCACGTCCCGCAGATTTCGCTCTGTCGCCCAAGATGCCCTTTACACCACAGTAAAACTGTCCATGTCATGTGGGAGTCACCCCAAGGTGAGCTCCCTTCTGCAGCTGCTGCGTACTCTCTTGGACCGCGCAGACCTTGCTACAAAGATCAGAACCCTGCGCGTTGGGACAATTCGCAAGAATGTCGCGAAGCTTTGCGAACAGCAGGACTTCGACCTCGCGTCTCTACGCATGCGAAGCTTGGCAAAGCTGGAACAAATGGGAAATTCTGCATCGCATCCTTGGCATCGGACCATTCGGAATTCGATAGAGTCGGGATTTGCTGGACTGCTGCTCGCACTGCTTCCCAACCTCACCCACCTTGAAGTCTGGGTGAAAGATCATCCTCGCGGTCCGCCTTCAGGCGAGTGCATCTCCGGGCTTTTCGGGGGGATGTTCGCCCCTGCTGGCATTATTCACGGTTGGAGCACGCTTCGACATTTGACTACGAGCGACACACACTTGCTGAAATCCGGCATTCACTATGAGAATCTTAAAAGCCTCGATCTAAAAACGATTTCCATTGGTACCATCCTGCGTCTCAACGGTCCTGGGTGTCTACAGGGCGCCGAGAACCTTGATGATCTAGCCTTGAGTGTCTCGATACAATTTGCAGATCGTCCCCTCGTTGAGAAGGCGGAAATCCAACTCAGTGACCTTTTTGAAGCTCTCGACTGCAGCCGGCTACGAAGTCTCAAAATGCAGTTGTGAGTTTGTTAGTGCATCATCTACGTTGCCCCTGCTAACATTCACTCGCGCAGTATCAACGACAGCTATCATCTCACTGACGATCGGGATACCCAGCTTGATGCAGGTTATCTCATAGATCAACTTGATAGCATGCGAGACAGTCTAGAAACGCTTGCAATCACGCATGAGATTACCGATGACGACTCGGATTTGGAATGGCTGCTGGAATTGCTGACGAACCAGAAGAGATCGTTTAAACACTTCACCAACCTCAAGCATCTCACCATTCCACAGTTGTTCATTTTCAATGCGGAGCCGGCAGATTGGCTGGAAGACTGCTGCCAGCCGAGAGATTTGCCACCAAAGCTCGAGACGTTGGAGATCCTTTATCCTCAAACAGATATAGAAGACTGGGTAGAGCGCTTCGAGCTCCCAGAGTATCAATACAATAGGGCCTTAGCCATTCAAGCCAAGCTGCCCTCGGCTTTGCGGAGGATCACATTGACGTGTCGCGACGAAGTTGGCTCATCTGCATCGTTCTTCACAGAGTACGTAGACGCGATCTGGCCGAAGCTGTCATTGAGTCTCCAAATTCAGACGTATGTCTTCTGTCAGATCCAAGGAACTAGGTACAACTTGATAGACTCCTATGAGGAAGAGCATCGCATCAAGGACGAGGAAACGACTGACAGCGCAGAGGAAACGACTGATAGTGGAGACTACAAAGAGCATTCTGGACCTCGGGTGTATCCTACGACCGACAGCGAAGAGGAAACGACTGATAGTGAGACTACGTAGAGCATTCTGGACCTCAGGTATATCCTGTACGTGACACAGGGGAACACAACTTCGACGCAGGATCGGACGAATAAAGACTAGAAGCGAAGCCTTCTCGACCAACAGTCACTTGGTCTGGCAGCCTGCTTGCATGCCCTTATCAATCCACAGAAATGGACGCAGAGAGACTACATGCAAAGCCTCCTCGATGAATTCTCAATGGACCAGACGGACTGGACGGCTACAGCCTCAGTATTTGAGCCGGTGAGGCGAGGGTACGCCATGCCCGACTAGCGCACGGGCGCAGTGGTCCAGATGTTCATTGGAGGCGTTCATGCATGTTCCCGGTCAGCGATTCGAGCCGAATCCCGCCCCACCATCAACGCTTAGCCAAGATAGTCCTGCATGCAGCAAATATTGGGCATTGCGCCTGCTTATTCCCATGGCAGTAACAATTCGCGATATCATCGTCCACATGATCAATACGATGTCCGGGTACCCGGTGACATCCTGTGGCGTTCCTTTCCAGGCTTCTGAGCACGCATCTAGTATGCAGCCTGATATATCATGCAGCCAACACGGACTACCGGTCTTGAGCGGGCAAATCCGAGCCCATCACTGAGGTAGCGTCTTGAGGTGCAAGTCAATGAATGGTACTATCTACGCGGAGATCAGTCTGTGTGCGCGATGCGTCAAGTCCGTCAGCCTCGTAAATTGGCGATATCTTCCACATGTCTATTCTTGGGCGTCTGCGGAGCTGGACTTCCGCATCAGCCTTGGACAGTGCTATTGTAAGCTAAGCTAGACGGGCATCATGGCGTTGGCGAGTGTGAGATGAATGATTATGGTCGAGAGGCGATGGGAACAGAGGTCAGCGTGTTGTAAGCTGACATGCCGCCAAAACCTTATCAAAGAACTATAAGTTCGAAGCTTTCCTTGCATTGAGACTCATATCAGCAACAAAGCCGCTGCCTCCACTTCTCAATCTTCGACATGAGCTTCAGGTCCAGTCTATCAGCGATCTATATCGCCGTACTCATCCTAGCGGGTTCAGTCGACTCTGCCTCTGTCACTATCAGCCGTTCAGGATGGACCGCAACGTCGGACAGTTTCCAAGCTGGTAATGAGCCTTTTAAAGCGCTCGATGGAAATGCGACATCGTTCTGGCACTCAAAATATGATCCCGCGCCAGCCGACACTCTACCAAACTGGATCATCGTGGACATGAAAGCATCCTATAACATCAACGCCGTCAGTCTCCAGCCACGCCCAAGCGACAACGCCAATGGCAGGATTGGAGGACACAGGATCGAGATTAGTACCGACAACTCGAGCTGGAAGGTCGTCGCTGTCGGCACATACAACAACGATGCCACGACCAAGAAGACTTCCTTCGTCGCGAAACCGGCACGATATGTTAGGATCACAGCTACCTCAGAAGCTCAAAGCGCCGTCAACCAATGGACCACCGTCGCTGAGATCAACATCTTCCAGGATACAGCATACGCTCCGCCAGCGGCAGGCAAAGGCTTGTGGGAGAAGACTGTGGATTTCCCGCTTGTACCGGCAGCTGTCTCATTACTCCCGAACGGAAAGGTACTGATGTGGTCGGCCTTCGCGAAGGACAACTTTGGCGGATCCAGAGGCTTCACCCAAACAGGCATTTATGATCCTGCTACGGGCGAGTCGAGCCAGCTTCAGGTCTCCAATACACAGCACGACATGTTCTGCCCAGGTATCTCCCTGGACTTCAACGGCCGTGTTATCGTTTCGGGGGGCAGCGACGCTGCAAAGACCAGCATCTATGACCCTTCTAGTGACGCTTGGACCCCAGGAAGCGACATGCGGATCGCTCGGGGGTACCAATCTACCGCTACTTGCTCCGACGGGCGCATCTTCAATATCGGCGGATCATGGAGCGGCAACAGGGGTGGCAAGAACGGAGAGATCTATAGCGCTACTGCAAATACTTGGGCTCTGGTACAGAATGCGCTCGTCAGCCCTATGCTTACAGCTGATACTGCGGGCGTATATCGTTCGGATAACCATGCCTGGCTCTTTGGGTAAGTCCAGCGCCTGATAATCATTGAACTTATTGCTGACCAACTACAGATGGAAGAACCAGACGGTATTTCAAGCCGGCCCTTCGATCGCCATGAACTGGTACGATACTGTCGGATCTGGAAGTACCACAGGTGCTGGTAACCGCTTGGATGACGGGGATGCCATGTGTGGCAATGCGGTCATGTTCGACGCCACAGCCGGAAAGATACTCACTGCAGGAGGTGCTGCAAACTACGAAAACAGGTATGAACCGACTTTCGCATCACTCACGCAGCAATGCTGACTTCGTTGTCTTTTAGTGACGGACGCACAAGTGCCTATGTCGTCACGATAGGTGCACCAAAGACTAACCCAACCGTCGCCAAAACCCAGTCTATGACCTATCCGCGTGGTTTCGCGAATGGTGTCGCGCTTCCTGACGGAACAGTCTTCGTTGCTGGTGGACAATCGCGTCTGCACCCGTTCAACGACGACACGGCGCAGCTGACTCCGGAGCTGTGGGACCCCACTACTGGAAGATGGACACAGTTGAACCCCATGCAAATTCCCAGGACATACCACTCCGTAGCAATCCTCATGCCGGATGCGACCGTCTTCGTCGGCGGTGGCGGCTTGTGCGGTTCTTGCGGTGCCAACAATCACTTCGACGCCGAGATCTTTGTACCGCCCTACCTTCTGAACGCTGACGGTACAAGACGCGCACGTCCTGTCATAAGCACTGTAGCCACTACTGCCAGACTCGGCGCGAATTTGAGCATCACCACGACTGCGGCTGTTACCAAGTTCTCGCTGGTGAGGTTTGGCACCGCCACTCATACCGTCAACACCGATCAAAGAAGGATCGCATTAACGATGTCGGGTAGCGGTACGAGCTATACGGTGGCTATCCCGGGCGACCCAGGAGTCGCGTTGCCTGGATACTGGCTTTTGTTCGCGATCGACGCCAACGGCACGCCTAGTGTGGGCAAGACCATCAAGCTTGCCTTGTAGAGATGCATTGAGAAGGGCAAGGACCTATATGCCGATTTCTTCCGTCTTGCTTCTTTCTTTTGCTACGTGGACCACTTCTTGCTTGTGCGGTCCGACGTCCTCTGGCCGAGTACATGAGTACATTACGAGTCTGCGGCGAGAACGTCTGATATGCTTCTGGGTTTCACTTTTCGATATTTTGGTTCCATTCATGCACTCTTCATTATGGGTTAAGCTGTCGCACGGTTGACTCATGGATTGCTTCGCTACATTAAATATACACATCAAGAAAGGGAACAGAAAGTAACAACACGCGCTCTCAAAGTCGACATCCTACCCGAGGCTCCAACCTCAGGTCATTTTCCAACGCGTGGTAAAAGGTCTTCGACCTATTTTTTTTCCGCTTCATTTCACGACAAATCTTTCACTGTCGCATGGCTCTTATCGCCGATTGGCCTCCACAATGCCAGCGGCAATCTTCTCCGCGAGCGCATCTACGCGAATGTTAGCAGACGTCCACACAACACTTGAGCTCGCATGGGAAACTTACAAATCGTACTGGTGGGGTGACCCGGCGGCAGGATAGGCAATGCACTCGCATCTACAACCCTCAAGCCCTTGACGCCATAAACCTTAGCTTCGGTGTCCACCACCGCCATGTTATCATCCTTCTTTCCCATCTTACACGTGCAAGACGCATGCCAGATAGTCATCAAACTGTCTCTCACTACAGCCAAGATCTCCTCGTCGCTGTCCTTCTCCTTGCCTGGCCAGTATTCGTCACCAATCACAACTTGCTGCATGGTTTCCGAGTTCCAGATCTGGCGCATGCGACGGTAGAGCGCGACGGCGAGTTCTTGGTCCGCAGGAGAGGTGAGCCAGTTGGGGTTGATCAGAGGCGAGCTGCTCATGGATGCCGATTGCAGGGTAACGTTGCCGCGGGACGTGGGTGCTACGATGCCTCCGAGGATAGTGGCGTATTGCTTGCCATCTAGGGGTTGTTGAAGGACGGGGAGGGAGAAGTCGCCGATGTAGCCGTTTCCGCTGATAAGCTGTTCAAAGTTTGTGATTAGCGTCTGTCTTGCATTGTCATCATCAAAATCTAGGGACTTACCTCAGCTTCTGGCCAGTCATCGGTGAATTGGTTCAAGGCATCGACGGTGGACTGAGAGAAGTTTTGGCGGAACTCTTGGGGCAGCTTTTCCCAGCCGAGGAACTCGACGACATTGGAAGAAAGCACACCTTCGCCTTTCAAGGTGTAGTCGGCCAGAGCATCGGCAAGTGCAACGGGATTGTGGAGGGTGTTGTCCAGCGTGTTGAAGCTGACTTCGTAAGCTGGTCCGAACATAATATGATCCCACATGTTCTGGCCTACGCCCGGGCGATCGGCAACCACATCGATGTTGAACTTCTCCAAAGTCTCCTTTGGACCTACACCCGATACCATGAGTAACTGGGGGCTGTGGAAGGCACCTGCGGAAACGATGACCTCCTTGGAAGCATGGATGTCGTAGGTAATGGCCGTAGACTGAACCCTTACGCCGGTCGCGGTCTTGTTGCCATCAAAGAGGATCTTCTGGGCCTGGGTGTTTGCGTACACGGCGAGCTTGTCGTTGTCGAGCGCTGTTTTGATGTACTCGTCCGATGCACTGCGGGTCTGCTCCTTCGCGTCGATGAAAGTTTGGGTGTAGTGTGTTCCCATGAGTTTGCCGCTATCAAATTCGCTGGTCCTTTTCAAGCCGACTGCATGAAGAGCCTTCTCCATCCAGGTCGAGAATGGAGAGACATAGTTGGAGTAACCGATCTGGATAGGTCCTCCCGGTGTTTGGAAGGCACTCTCGTCGTACTGCGTAGTCACATTGTCGCCACGTATGGCGTCGTTCGGCTTGGTGAAGGTGACAGCCTTCTTGAAGTAGGGTTCAAAGTTGGCAAACGTGTAACTCTCGTCGCCCACAGCGTCGGCCCAGGTTTGGTATGAGCCCTCAGTACCTCTGGAAAAGGATTAGTACACCGCAATCGCTTGCAGAGACGACTCTTCGTACCTGTGATGGATTAGGAAGTT